GGTTAGAGTAAAAATAAGCTAAAATAAAATAAAATAAAGGCTAACATAAAATAAATCAAACAATTAACTAAATGCAACAAAATGCAAGCACTTACAGGTAACATAAGTAGAAAAAAAACAATAAAAACAAGTAACTAAATGTGACAAAATGCAACAAAAATTGCAGTTAAACATTAAAAAGAAGAAAGAAGAAACTTAAAAAAAGTTAAATTGCAGCATAAATTGAAATAAAATAAGTACAAACTAAATAAGTGATATGATAATATCCCCCAGATATGTCCCCCACAAGATGAATTTTAATAGCATTGACGAACCACTGACTCCCATCAGGTTAGTATTGTGTTTAGTGCTAGTTAGCAATGTTAGTATGCTAAAACACCAATATGGTGAACAGGACAAATATTATACCTGCTAAACATTAACATGTTAGCATTGTCAAGGTGAGCATGTTAGCATGCTGACTTTGGAATTAGCTCAGAGGACTCACAGCATTCAGTTTATTCAATCACAGATGTGTTGTCTACATCACATTTTTGTTATTTGTCCAATCATCTAGGAGTTGGAGATCCAGGCCCGTGCTCATGGTATTACAGTGGTGTCATCCCCATCTGTCTGTACATCGGATTTGATAGTGCGAGCCATTAAACAGGAGCCTGTCCTTGGTGACTGCCCCTCAGATGTCTACCATAGCTCAACTCCTGACATGTCCCCTCCGACCACACTAGACCTCAACAACGGCACCATCACCTTCGACCAGATTCCTGCAGACGCTGGGGACCATGGCCATTATGGAAACTCCAGGACCTGTAAAATGAAGGAATTGGTAAGGGACAACACCCTGTCGCCAATTTCCCCAAGTGATCCTCTGCTGTCCTCGATGTCCCCAGATGGCTCCAACAACGTTAGCAGCCACCACAGTTCCTGCTCTAGTATGGAGGAGAAGGAGCAAGGCTGTTAGCATTGTCCAATGCCATGAGCCATACTGACACTTTGTATCTGTAGCATCCCAATGAGGCACCTCACCTTAAAGTGACTCCATATTTTTGTAAGTTAAAAATTAGTTATAAGTTACTTTTTGCCAATTTATTGCTGAACTCTAATGTTCAAATACTGTTTGTTAATTTAATTGAGACATTTCAGTCCCTCCACTGTACACAGTATTTTTACATTCTTCTAATCGTAATGCCGTATAGGACAGTTCAGAATCACTTGTCAATATAGAGGGTGACTGACAAACACGACAATCTGCTGTTATTATAGACTTGTCAACTTAATAACATTACTTTTTTTAGACTGTTTATTTTTGTCTTTATTTAAACTAGGATTTTTCATATGTGTCCCAAATATACCATGCTCTGTATTGAACTGTACTGAGATATGTGAAAATGTTTTGGTTGGTGAAAATGTTAGTAAAGTGCAAAAGTTTACTGTAATGTTCAAACTTGCCAGAAAAAAAAAGAGTCAATCTAACAGTGTTTAACTTCCGAAGGTTACATTGCAAGAAAATGCACAAAATATAATTTGGTATTTAAATATTAAAGGATCAAGAGTTGCATATTATTGCATATTAGTAATTGTTTCTAGACATATTTAACATGTATTATTACCCCACGCTTTTGTATTCTGAAGAAATAACAAATCAAACATTGTCAAGATGAGAAGTATTATTATTGTTATTATTATTAGCATCATTTATTTATTTTATTTTTTTATCCACTGAGAGCACAGACATCACAACTTAACTGAATTTGTACTTTGTGTATTATTTTTAATGAGTAAATACACATAACATTTTTAAACTGTGGGTTAGGTGACAAAAAAAGAAAAAAGAAAGGAAATAATGGTCTTGTTTTGGGTCCACAGATGACAAAAGTTACCTGATACATTTACCTGGTCCAAAAACTGATTGACTGACTTTTTTTCCTGATATCTGACATGAAACATCTTAGTAATTTGTTAATAATAAATGTAAAATAAATAAAACAGATAAATAAATGAACTCAAAGTGGTTTACATGCTAACAAGGGCTCACAGCAGCCTTTGCCCAAAATGTATCAATTGCTTTGTAGGCACTGATCAACCAGTTATTTCATCTTGTCCTGCATAACTCAGAGCTGAGTAGATGTATACTGAGGGGATTTTTTTTATGTCTGTACAGAACTGGCTAAAACTATATGAGACATTTTTGTTCATATCATTAAACTTCACTTTTAAACACTGTAAAATAATATTAAAATGTATTCTTAAAATATACATATTACACTCACATTTCTTCAAGACAAGGCATAATGTGCTCAGTGTTAATTCCTAATTTTCATAATCTGACAGTAAAAGAAAAATGAAACAAACCATGATGGTTTTAGCTTCTTATTATTCAGCCTAAAAAAATGTAACACACACTTAAGTAATAGTGTTTAAATAACTTTCTTCATAGGTTTGTTTAGTGGCCTTTCTCAGTGGTTAACACTGTCACCTTTTAGAGGAGCACTGTGATAGACTAGCGACCTGACTGGAGTGTATCTTTCAGTGCATGCTGGGACAGACTCCATACCACAGAAGAAGCAGGTACAGTGAATGGATGGATGATAGTAGAGTATGATCTCTACAGGGTGGTAAAGGTAATATCTTAAATATACATATATATATATA